ATTCTAAAAACATGTTGCTTCAGTTAGACTGTATCTGCTTCAGCTGATATGTGGGGATATTTCTGTGCTCATTTAGCACTTTAGTTGACTACCAGAGACTCTTCAAATCTGTCCCTTAATTTAGGTACCGTGTTAAAGCATAAAATCTGAAGGAATAGCTTTCCCAACAGTTAGTGGCCCTTTCCAAATTAATTGGCATAAAACATTTGTTTTGTTTTTGTACCAAGTTTTAATATTTATATAGTAGGACAGCTGCAGAGGTCTATTTTATTACAGTTCAGGAATAATTTATTTTGTTTGAATAGTATGTATGTATGTATGTAGACAGCTAAGATCAAACATCTATATGACAGTTAAATGGTCTATGGACAAATCATTCATCATGGTCCTCATCAAATCATATTTATTGAGCAGCTGCATGAGTCATATAATACCTCTTACGTATTGAGGAAAACTATTTAGTTATCTTGTACTTACATATATAGATCTTGCCTTTGTTATTTATTCTCATACATTGCTTGCTACCAGAATTAGGCAGTCTTGTTTATGGGGTTACTTCTAGGAGCTGAATCTCAAATGGGATAGAGGGTCTGGCACAAAAAAACACCCCTTTAATACAGACTCTTCTATTACAAAATCATAAGCGTGTAATTCTTTAACATAACAATATCACACTCAAGCACACCATACGAGATTTTAGGTGAAATGTTCAAGTTAAAACTATTATTACACCCATATTGTTACCCTACCAACTACACTCAAGAAAGTGATACTTCTGCTTTACCCTGTAACTTTAGAAGGTACTTTTCAAAGTAAAATACTATCTAGAAACTGCCAATTTGTAGTTAAAATCAGAAGTAATATTTCCACTGAATTAGAACACAAGAATAAGTAAAACTATCAAGTTGTTTGAGGTTATATATTTGAAAGTATTGATGCTTATTAAAAGACAGAAATAATAATATTATTTAGATTTTTTAATATTTTAATTGAGGCTCGTTTTAGGTCAAACTGCTATAACAGAGTAGACTAGGGGGTTATAAACAAGGCATTTCTCATAGTTCCAGAGTCTGGGAAGTCCAAAGTCAAGATGCCACTGGCAGATTTGGTAACTGATTCACAGATGACCATCTTCTTGCTGTGTCCTCATAGGGTGGAAGAAGCTGGGGAACTCTGCAGTGTCTCTTATAGGGGCACTAATCCCATTCATGAAGGTTCTGTACATGTAACCTAATCGACTATCAAGCCCCACCTCCTAATTCCATCACATTAGAGATTAAGATTTCAACATATAAATTTGGGGGAGACACAGATATATAGCAAGACCTACAGAAAAGTTATATTTATTCTGTACCATATTCTATTAATGCACATAATTCTTTGTATTCTGTAATTTGTAATTTCAAAAGGTTTTAGTTTTTATCTCCAAAATAGAATTTGTTAAATAATCCAAGTTATTTAAACCAAATCCAAAATTGGGGGTTTTATTTAACCATTTTAACTTACTCTGTCTTTTAGTAAGTATTCAGTGAGTCCTTGAGATAAGATTTTATCAAAAGTTTTAAAATATACTGATAAAATTTTAGGAAAAAAGTTTTCAATGTAATTGTTCAAATAATGATTCTATGATTGCTACTTTTAAAAGTGAAATATTCCTTAATAAATCTTATCGGGGACCTCTGCAGTTGAGATGCAAAGTTAAAATCAATAATATATAGGTCTCTGAAATCAACATTGAAATTTTAGTGGATTAATCAGCAGTGAAATATTTTCCTCATTATTCTTATATAAGTAGCATTATTTTTGACTTTGGGTTTTGTGACACATATTTTTCATAAATTTATATTCTAAAATTTGAAAACTTTGCCCTGAATTTAGGAAAAGATTTATCTTCCACTAGCTTTTACATTTTAACATTCCTCTTAATATTCTCTGATGATTGTGTGATTATTAACTCTTTAAATTTTCCTGGTATTAATTTCCTAATATTTGTTTGATAATTTGTTTGTTAATTATCTCCATTTCATAAAGGTGAGTGTAAGTAAAATTGTGTGTTTAAAGCTCTATGTATTGTTTCAAATTTTAATGATTATAGGTCATTTCTATGATATAATAATATCACATTATAAAAGATGCTAATGAAAAATTACTTTGAGAATGCAATTTCTCCCTAGAAGTGACACCTCATAGTTAATCTTGTGTTAACATCGTAGGCATAACATTTTGCTCTCTCACCCTCAGGTAGGTAGGGATAGTTTTAAAATAAGAGGCTAACCTTCACACAGTAGAGGAAACAGCCCTCTGAACCTGCTTCCACCTTTAGAAATTGTATCAAGTAACAGCCAAATCCCTTATCATCTCTGAATATCACATTCCTTTTTTTCACCATTTAGGTTGCTATCTAGGAAATCATAACATTGTCCAAGGAGTGGAAGAGCCTGTTAACCTCTGATGGGCTGAGCCTCATTCTAGGTCTGCGTGTGATGTGTGGGGCCCACATCTAGTTAAAGGTGGCCCTGATTGGCGACAAGACTGTGCTTTTCAGTTGCATGTTCACAGTGCCAGAGAAATAATTGCACCTGCGAACTAGGTCCCCCAAACTAGCTTTTAAAACTTGCTCCCCAAACTTCTTTATAAGCTGTTTTCTAAAAAATTCTGCACTGTGTTTTTCTTCTAAAACTAAACATGCTCCAACCAGGCTCCTAGTGACAGGTGGGTTTCCATTAAGCCCAAGGTTTTTCTTTGTGTTGTATATATGTGTGAGGGTAGGTTGGGTTTTTTTAAAACTAAACAAAAGCTAGTGATGACTTCCTTTAAACTGTCCATGTGAAAATAAAGAGCTATAGTTTCAGCCTTGAAAAAAATGGGTCAGTAATACAAATAAAACAACATACACACAAATAAGTAGAAAAGTAAGAGAGTACAGTACCCAAGAGAGGCAGGCAATGGGTCTGTGAAAAGGTTAAAGCAAGTGTGTTCACCTTTAGTGGTGGCGCTAACTCTGACCTTTCTTCCATTGTCAGGATTCTGAGTCCTGACCAAGGTCACAAGTTTGCTGCCCAAGGATCTTGGGACCAAGAAGTGAAGGAACCAGTACTTTTCACCTTAAAATATTAAGCTAATGAATTGATGGATTCCTGGGATTTTTTCTTTTTGTCTTTTACCTCATAGTTCTAGATATGAAATACATCAGCACAAGCTTGAGGTTTTATCTGTTTTAGAGTTACCACCTTTTAAAGACATCCACTCACAATCTCCTTGAATAACTTAACAGGAGTCTCAAATCACCAGAAATGTAGTAGCTTTGTGGCATTTGTTTTAATGACATATATACAGTTTCTCAGGACCTATGAGATACATCTTATCTTCCATTTCTTGAAAGAAATTTAATAGGTAATATTAAATTGATATAGGACTTGGTTAATTAGAACCAACTTCTTCTATATAAGTCATTTTTCCAAGTCTAATTTTTGTTATTCTGGATCAATATGTATTTTATATCTATCTATCTAATCTATCTATCTTATCAATTCTCAAAGACCACTTCCTGGGTCAGTCTTATCTCCATCTGAATCATTAGAATTTCCTTTTAATTTAGGATAATTCTGAGCCACATTATTATTTTTTTAAAGCAGGTACATACAAAAAAAGGGCAATTTGTAGAACTGTGCGTATACAACATATTCCAGTGGTTGGAATTGTCATTAAAGAACTCTCTTCTTTTTTTCACAAAGCTTCTAGAATAACTCCAAACTTAGGCTCTATGTAATTTCCGTGGAATTTAATAAAGTGAAGCATTTGGCAATATAAGGTAGTAATTATTTGTGAGAAAGATATAAATTTAAAAAATTAAAGAGCCATTTAAAAGGATTTACATTATTAAATAAGGACACTTTTATAGACATCTCCAGCCTCTGAAGTCATGTCTAATTTTGACCTCTCCTTTGGAAAAATGATACATCTAGTTCCAGATTGGATGAATCAAAGACATTTATTCAAAGTTTAAACTGTCTTGTAGGGTATCAACTTGAGTTTTATCCACCAGTATCTTGACTAGACATTGAAATTGTAAAGGTAACTGAAGAGTTTACACTGACTTTACTCTTATGAACCATAAACGTTTTTATGTATGTTTTGAGAAGTCATATGAATTTTTGTTGTTCCAGAACATTTTGAGTTTTATTCTGTTTAAGTGAGAAACATTAAAGACAAAAAGAATGTCCAACTCGTGGTAAAATTTTAATTTTTTTTTTTACTTTGGAACGGAAATTTTCATGATCTTTACAAAGTATGGTAAGAATTGCAGTTGGACTAAGAAAAGAGCAAGAAGTAATATTGCCTAGGAACAAGAAATTTGCTTTTATAATGCCAACAAGTTGATTAAAAAGGAAAAAAGGCATATTGGCTTAGAATATATTTATAATATTAGAGAAAAAACCATGGTTAATACCATTATAAACTTTATATGTATTTAAGCAAGTTAATTTTAGTAGTAATTTTATAGTTATTTTAGAAATATGATATATTTAGCCTATATAAGTTATAGTGAGTTAAGTTTTATGGCCTATATAAGTTACATATGAAAGGAAATTCCTTTAAAGAACATTTCAAGAACAACCTAATTTGGTGTTTGAAAGGAAAATTAGAAGGGAGATAGCAATAATGATCAATTAAATTTTGTATAACTCTGTTCTCTAGACCAACATTAATTTTCCTTTTCTTAATTTTTCAATGGCCAAACAGAGCATAGTGTTTTTTAATTTTCCTGCGTGGTTACTATATTACTCATGGAAGTTTTTCAGTTTCCAAAGTAAAACCCAAAGGACAAATGTTTTAGGTTGAGTGTGGTAGTAATAATGAAAAATATAATTTTTTATACTACTTGATTACTATAAAAACTTATGTGACAAAAACCCTGATAATACAAATGCAAATGAACACCCAGGAGAAAATGACAGGTTGAAAGATTTTATGTAGTTCATATTTCTTTTTACCAATAGATCATAGTACTATGAATGACACGGACGTCCATATGGAAACAACTGAATGCATTCAAGGTCAAGGAGAAGGTTACCGGGGCACCGTCAATACCATTTGGAATGGAATTCCATGTCAGCGATGGGATTCCCAGTATCCTCACCAACATGATATAACTCCTGAGAATTTCAAGTGCAAGTGAGTAAATTAGGCAAATATTGTAAATTTCCAGTAAGCCCTGGGGAAATGAGGCAGGGTGGTTATTTTTTACTAATTTCTGATCCTTAAACTTTAGTGTGCCTAGGAATTATCAGGAGTTAAAAGGCATATTAATCCACTCAGAGATTTTGATATTTGGACTTCAAATACACATTTTAATAAGCCTCTAGGTGACTCTAGGTGATTCCAAATCAGATGATTGATATACCTTGCTTTGGGAAGCACATACACAGGTTTCTTATACCAGCTTTGCTCTTGCAGGTCTATTTAATAAACCTTTTTAAATTTTTTAAAAGGATTGTATTTATTTATCTTTAGAGGGTTAGGGAAAGAGAGAGGGGGAGAAATATATGGTTGCCTCTTGTGCGTCCCTTCCTGGGAACTGGTGGCCTGCAACCCAGGCATGTGCCCTGACTGGGAATCCAACCGCACTCCTCTGGTTGCACAGGCCTGGGTTCAATCCACTGAGCTACGCCAGCCAGGGCTTCCTTTTTAAATTTTTATATCAAATTTAGGAGGGATTACATATTTTTTCTCCTGCAAGGAGAGGAAAACCTTGATTTCAGCTGACATGGTAAACTTATGCATTTTCAGCCTTGAAACAAAATTATTTTTAATATTTAAATGAATATTTTTCTTTTGTTACTACATTTGCTTTAAAAAAATGAGGTGGTAAAGCAATTGTCTCAGTGAATCCAGCCAAAGAAACTTCCTTTGAATATCGGTTATGTAGTCACATGTGCCTTCTCCGTGGCTGCTTTTTTTCACCAGTTGACTTTTGTTGGACAGACCCAGCCACAGTGCCATGTGTTTTTAAATTGTCCACCTTGTTATGGGAAACATAAACTGATTGCTTTTAAAATTTATAACACACGTGTCATTCATAGTGGTTTTGCTGAAATAGCACCTATAAATAACATATATTGGCTTTATGTAATTGGATTTTAATAACAGAGCTTAACATTTCAAGATGGAGAATTATGAGCACTAGTTGGCCCATCCACTAGAGAGGGGAGATATTTTATGGGTTTTTTAAAGTTAATTTAATGTATTTACTTAGATAGTAAATATTCATCTGTTATGAGATTTTCATTATTTTATAAAAACAAATTTATAGTTGTCATTCTGGGTTTATCTCCCACCATTTTCTTCACAGCAGTACAGTATTTCTGAACTGTGTATTTCACATCTTGGGAATAAACACCAATAGGGAAAGCAAAGAATATGAAGGTTGGTTAAGAGAGACAAAGGAGAGTGGAAGTGCCATTCACACATTGTTAACTTCTAATGACTGGAAATGCTGAAGGATGAGGTCTTGTATGTGTAAATACCCAATGAGCTTCAACTGTAAGAAAAGGAAAATAATTATAAAAATTTAATTCATACATTTCACAAAAATTATCCAAAGTTTAGTTATTTGTTACCAGAATTTAAGCCGTCCTTCCTTAATTTAGTTGTTTGGTCAAGATAACCAAACTTACAAACCAAAAAGAAGAAAGTCAGTTGTGTTATAACATGGATAAAATCTGACTCAGTGTTTTCCCCAGGATATTGATGCATTTAATATTTGTGATCTAGAAGAGAACAGTGTGCTAATCAGTTGTCTCTGTATTAGACACTTTGCGTCAATACTGACTCCTTACAAATGACAGTTTTTTAAACTGTAACTCAACTACAGTGCCTGCGATGAATCTACATAAATTATACAATGATTTATTTGTTTTAGCAATTATAAACAGTTCTTTCATATAGTGAAGGGAAGGATTTTAGGGATAATATTTGGGCATACCTGGACTCTCAGTTTTGCTTAATCTAGATTAATGAGGTGCTTCTAGATGGATTTTGAAAGTGGACCTAACCCAAGATTTTGTTAGTCTTAGATCTCTGTTTAATTATCTTGCCTTAAAATAAGAATATAAAATAATTTAACTAAGCTACTCTTTATCTAAACTTACAAATTTGTGTAAACTTTATGTAAATGTACATGCACATATTTTGTACTGATATAAATTTTTGAAACATAAGCATAAAGCAGTTTGAAAGGAATAAAAGATTTTCTTTATCTTTCCAGTTAATTTCATCATTTTATAAGAAGGCTAAGAGTTTGAATATGGGTTATAACTTTGAACTTGCTATGTTGTGGCCTTAATTATTGGCAGTCACTGTTCTTACAACCTTAAACAACAAAATTTGTGTCAGGACCTATTTTTAACTAGATAAACTGTCATTTTTTGATTTTATAACAAAACCCAAGCTTCTTTCTTTAAAAAAAATTCTCAGTTTCTAATGGTCAATTTGGGTGTTAACAAAATTATAGTATTTCTAATTGGATCTAAGTATATATAAATAATATGATCTCTAATAGATTGAATATTAATTTTTATGAAATTATTAGCCACAGATCTAAGAAAAAGTATAAGCTTGCTTCCAATTAGAGAGCATTTTCTAGCAAAGAAAATAATAAATTCAGTATTTTATTTAAAATTAACCTTATATTAAGGTTCACATTAAAATCCTTTTATATACTGGAAATATTTGTATAGACTTTTTCCTTATTGAGAACTCTTAATACTTAATAAACCACTGGTAAAATAAAGGATGTACACACACTATATAGGCAGCTCTATAGTTAGGTTTCTATTATGCCTTCATTTTATGAAAAATATAAAGATTTTGGTAACTTCTCTAAATCAAGAAATAACTACTTTGAGGTTAAATAAATACATAGATATGGCAAATTAAATAAATCAAGGAAATAGAATCCAAGAAGAAATACCTACATGATTTTTGTGGGAAATGTTTAAATAGATGAAACTTTGATTTTAAATGAGAGTAGTTAATGAGACTATTAATAACAGCCTTTCTTCTGCAGAATGATACATGTTGTTTGTACATTATATATGAGCTATAAAATGCAATAAATGACAGGTCAATTTTTAAAACTTGAAACTGTTGAGAGTCCAGTTCTTGAGAATAAGTGTGAGCAATGAAGTGGTACTAGTTTTCTCTCTCATGAAGGAATAGTGTGAAAGAAAAAAACAACAACATTATTTTAGTAATGGAGGTAGTGTTAGTTGTATATACTGAATTCTAAATCCTTAAAATTATCCTAAAACTAAAACTTAGAACTGTAGCTATACACAGGCACACCTTCTGGGGTTCTAGAGATGTAATAGAGCTGATCCCATCTGGGTAAGAATTGGGCAATTTACATTAATGTGCTTTTTTTCTCAATAGGGACCTAAGACAAAATTATTGCCGAAATCCAGATGGGGCTGAGTCACCCTGGTGTTTTACCACTGATCCAAACATCCGAGTTGGCTACTGCTCCCAAATTCCAAAATGTGATGTGTCAAGTAGACAAGGTAACAGTTGACATTTTGCAATGTGGGCATGGTTAAATTTGGGGGGAATGTCCAAAGGGAGTTCACATTTTACGGCAGAAGACCGACTTCTCCTTGTAGTGCAGTTGCTGAAGAGCAAATAAAGTCGACAAATCTGAACTTGGGTTTCTTTTTTATATTTATTTGCTCAGCACTTATTTATTTATCTGCATGCTTACCAGTGCCAGATGCAGTTCTAGGCACTGGAGATAAACCAGGAAACAAAACAACGTTCTCTGATGTCATGGAACAGATTTCTAGTAAACAGAAAAGACGAAGAAAGAAGAGGCGGGGATAGTAAATTAATAAATGCTAGAGAGGAAAGTGCCCCAGTTAGAAGAGAGGCATTTTGCTACTTTGTGTTTTGTTCGGAAAGATAGTACATATTAAGGAACATTTAAAAAGGGTCCCTGAAAGAAGTGAGGGAGCAGCATGTGCCGTGTGCATTTATTTATAAAGAGCATTTTAGGTAGAGAAAGTCTGCAAGTTGAAAATGGCACAAGGTGGAAGAGAGCTTGACAACTTTAAAGGAGAGAAACAGCACATCGTTTTGGCTGTTACAGAATGAGCAAGATAGTAGCAGGAGATGAGGCTTCAGAGCAATCAGGCTAAAACTGCATAGGCCTTGTAGGAATTGGAAGGATTTACATTTATATTCTGGGAAAAAAAAGAAACTCTGTTGTAGGGTTCTAAGAAGAGAAATTAAATGACCTGTCTGACTTAAATTTTAACTGGATGATTCTGGCTGCTTTATGGAAAACAGCCAGAACTTCTGACAAGAGCCAAAACAAGGGAATCAATTGAGGGAGTTTTCTAGTAACTTAGGCACAAGATGAGAGTGATGTGGACCTGGGAGTTAGCAGTAGAGATGTTATGTTGTGGCCGGGTTTCAGATAGATCGCCGTTGTAGTTGGAAACACAGATGCCATTGAAGACAACTCTTTCAGGGACCAGTAGTAGAGAAAAGACAGATCAAAATAGGTTTAAAAAAGAAATCACTTGTCAAAGATTAATAATAATACTGGGCTCTGGGCATTTATTGGTATACAATAAATTGACTTATAATTTTCAAATAATAATGTTTGTTCACATAAATTTAATTATGATGGTCATGGTCAGTCCTAAGTCATCCTAAAAAATCCAAGTCAAATTTAAAGCTTCACTTCATAGATTGATTGCCTTATTCATACTCATCTATTTTTTTACTTCTTTCTTAGTGACATTTTTCATGAGTAACTCTGAAAAGAGTTCTAGAGAAAGAAGGATGAGTCCCTTTTCAGTCAATTTTTTGTTCTTTGGCAGATTTTAAAGATAATTTGGAAAGGCAGTTAAAACCAATGATTAAGGGAGTTTTATTACCAATTGGATGTTTTGTTCCTATCCTGTTCATTTAAACTGTTACTGCTGATTTATGATAATAGAGGCAAATGAGAACAATTGCTTTATAAGATTCTGGCATAGATTGAGATACTTTTATGTACAGTACATGTATATTATTTACTAAAGGACCAAGTAATATAAAATGAGTGTTTTGGATTTTAGAAGTTAAGTAGATGTTACTGCTTATCCGTTAAGTGCACACAATAATAGATGAAGAAATTAGTTTTATGAAATTTAAATAGCTTGCTTAAGTACTTAAATTAGCACAGCTGGGACTGAGTATAACTCTACTTAAGATGATCTTTCTATTACTTCATCTTTCTTGTCTTTTATTAATACTTTAACAATATGTTACATTAATTTTCTTCTTTTTTTTTTTAAAGATTTTATTTATTTATTTTTAGAGGGGAAAGGAAGGAGAGAGGGAGAGAACTGGCCTGCAACCCAGGCATGTGCCCTAACTGGGAATCGAACCGCGGTTGCTTTGTTCCCAGGCCCGCGCTCAATCCACTGAGCTACACCAGCCAGGGCTTAATTTTCTTTAATAATGTGCCTCATACATTGCAATAAAGTGCAGGCTCTATGGGGCAATTTAAAAATGCAGAAATCTTACCTAAGAGGCACAGTTAGCCAATTCAACATACAGCTGTAATATTTTAACACTGTTATGCTATTTTGTGATATTGCCAAGCTAATGGTGTGCATTATTATATAGGAGATATATGTATGCATGCACGTGGACACACACACACACAAACAAAAGGATGTTGCTCACATCCTCTTTGTGTAAGAGAAAATATAACACACACTGATTGATGAGTTACAAACTTTTTCTCAAATCAATTAGCATAGGTACAAATACTCTTCTAATTGCCTATTAAATAACTTAAAAAATAAAAGCTGAAGTTGCAGAATTCCTTTAAAAATGCTGATGACACACAATGTATTATATTATATGAGGTACACTTATAGTAAACAGAACAAATTCACAGCTTTAAGTATTTATATCAATGTCATGAATAATGAAGAAAAGTCAGTGAAATGTTCAGCTCAAAGACTTAGGAAGAGGCCTGGTTGGCTCAGTGGATTGAGGGCCAGACTTCGAACCACAATGTTGCCGGTTGGATTCCCAGTCCGGGCATATGCTTTGAGTTGTGAGGTGTGTGAGAGACAGCTGATTTCACCACTCTCTGAAGAGAAATAGATAAAATCTTTAAAAAGGAGAACTGGGGAGAAAAGTAAACCAAAAGCATTATAAAAAAGACAGAAAGGGCAAATAAAGCAAAGGGGAACTAAGGAATAAATGGTGGTTCTTTGAAAAAAATTAATAAAATTAATAAAATAAATACCACCAACTGTCTCAAGAAATAAATATATAAAGTATATTTATTTTTTAAATTATAAAATACAATTACTTCAAATGTATAATATATGTATTATATATTACATAGTTATAGATGACATATTATTTCAAATATGTAATATATGCACTATATTACATGATTATATATTTTAATAATAAAATATAATTATTTAAAATATGTAAGATATGTGTTATATATTACATAATATATAATATATGTGTCATATTGCATAATTACAAAATACAATTATCAAAGGAGATAACCATTAACACAGGAAAATTAGAAAACATAAGTGATTGTTTTATACAAACTCATGTAAAAAAAAACTTTGAAAATAAAAATAAAGTGGGTAATTTGCTAGGGAAATTCAAGTTATTTGAATTGCTCCTGGTAGAGAAAAAACTTTATATAGACTTATTCCTGTAGAAAAATATGAAAATTTATTACTGAACTACTTCAGCAAAAATAGACCATGCCTAGGTAAATTCACAGATGAGATCATCTCAGTGCTGCATGATTTGCCCTGTAGCTTACAAATACAGTAAAACTTCCATATTATTTCTATAATGGAACTAAAATACTGATGCTTAAACATAATAAAGATATCACAGATATGGTTTCATCATCATTTTTTAATATTAACATGTAGATCCTAAGTAAAATTTGAGTAAACAGTCCAATACAGAAGCCACCACTTAATTAGTGGGGAAACATTAAGGCACTCTTAATAAGGTTAAAAAATAAAATAAAAAAAGAATGTCTGCTATCTCCTTTACTATTTAGCATTGTAAATATGTTATTGTATTTTTCTGTGACACTATATTGGAGATACTATACAATTAGATAAGAAAGCATATTGATTGAATAAAAAGCAAAAGATCTCTGTTTAGGCAAATTATATAAAAATAATATACCTGGAAAACTAAATTTAAATAATTAAAAAAATTACTAAGGTAGTGAGATATACAATTGATATACAGATCTCAATTGCATTATATTGATATCCATGTGGCTTAATGATCTAATTCAGTAGAAAACTACATTTATACTAGCAACAAAATTGATGGAAACTTAGGAATATATTTAGAACTGTACAAAATATATGTAATAAAAATTTTAAGGCACTCCTGAAAGCTACTAAAGTATACTTTAACATGTAGGAAAACATCCCTTGCCCTTAATATAAGAACCCAATGTCATAAATACATAAATTATGCCTAGGCTAATTTATAAATTTGATATTAATAATAGATCAACAAGTCTTTTTTTAAAATACCAAACCAAGTGATTATAACATGCTCTTAGAAGAACAGATAACAAACACAATAAAACATGAGATTGCAAAAGCTATGATAAAACTCTGCATGAGCTAATATGCAGTAATTTTCACTTATATTGTTAATTTAAAATTAAGTGAGACTAAAATATATATTTGGCAATCTTTTATTCATAAATAAAGGGTCTTACTACTACTAAAATAGACATTATAATACATATGTAGAATATACACAAATAACTTCTATATTCATAGTATGTTTATATGTGAGTATGTTACCTATATACATGTCTACATTTTCAGTATGTTAACTGATTCCTGATCAAATTATTAAATTATTGATTGATAAATTTTATTAAGATTTGTATCTTTTATTTATTATAATTATAGAGCAGAATTAAAACCAATGATAATCTAGTATGGTTTACAAAACTTAATAGTAAAATTCACAGTTCTTATTCATACAAAACTTAGGACTGTTTCAGAATAGTACTTTTTAAACTATGAGGTATTATTTCAAAATATAGAATAGTATTTCTTCTGAAATGTGGTAGTGAAACATATTTACAACTTGATTTTTTTATGATTTAAAAAATTAAAAGTATGAACACATACCAATGTTTAATAAACACCAATTGCTCAATTGAAAGAAAAGTAAAAAATAAAACACTTGGTTTGACTTGGGTGGGGGGCACACAGTGCAATATAAAGATCTTGTATCACAGAAGTGTACACTTGAAACCTGTGTGATCCTATGAACCAATGCGTCCCAGTAAATTTAATAAAAATGTAAAGAAACATTGGGATATGATGAAAGACCTAGGAGCCAGTTTAAAGTGGTTTCCATTGCCTAATTTTGGAAAAATTTGAGCATCAAAATGAACAAGAGGAGTAGATTACATATCTCAGTGAATAAAAAGAGAATTAATGAATTCCATCTGCGACTAGCATTAGTACCACCACTACCCTGCCACTAGTACTACTAACTGGTAATAGCAATGTTACTGAACCAAAACTGACACACAAAAAACCCAGGTTTCAGCTGCCTGTCACCACAAAAGCCAACCTTGCGAGGTGGGTGCTGATGCAAAAGGAAAAAGGTTTATCTGGATGCTGAGCCATTTTGGAGAATGGCAGACTCCCTGACCTGAGGCTCGCCCATCTCCTCAAAATCCAGCTGTCCTCATCAAGACCAGAACAAAAGGCAGTGCCCAGAGTTTCTCTATTTTAAAGAATGATCCTTCAGAGCCCAAGGTAGCAAGGTAAGCGGTCAACCAGGTAGCTTAGCTTGTTCCCAGCTGCTGACTGGCTTCAGGCCTCCTTCTGGAGACTGTGTGTAGAGCCAGTGCTGCCATGGCCATGTGACTGCTAGGTCACTGGCCCACGGAGAGGATAGGCCAGTGCACTGTCCCAAGTAGCCAACAAGGAGCAAGAGAGATTCTTCGTTCCCCTGAGGCTATATCCATTTTGGGTGTGGGACAGGCCAGATACTTTCTCAGAAAGACCAATTAACTTCCTAAACCTTCTGTGTTTTGGGTGAGTCCACCTCCCAACCAATACCTTCTTTCCCCAGGCAAGACTGTCAGGCTGCCTCCCCTGCCACCATTCTGAATTCTGGGGTACATATACCTGCCTTCCTGTAGCCCCACTCTTAATCTGGTACCAGAAGGACTGGGGCAAGAGCTTGTCCCTTTATCCAATTACCTTTCTAGCTTTTGGCATACTGGTGGGGAGGAGATCCTATCCATTCATCCCTTTGTCCCTTAGCCTGCTGGATTCCCATCCATTCATCATTCCAGCTTTCCAGTGGGTGCTTGGGCCCTGTGCACTCATATTTCTAGCTTTCAACAGGCTCAGTGTAAGAACCTTCCCCTCACCCCACCAGTCTTGGGCTGCCTAGCTTCCCTGCCCTGGGGTCTTGGGGCCAGAGTGGCTGTGGTGGCACGAGGCTAACACTCCACTGCAGCCCGGCCCAACCACTGCTCTCACTGGGGGAGGTGCCACCCTGCACTGTGGTGGCCAGCAGGGTTCCCACTGCCTCTGAGCTGGACAGTTGCAGTTGAGATGCTGTTATCAGCCAAGCCCCCAGGCTCCTCATCCCACCCACAGAGGTGCACCCCCTCCTCCCCGCAGCTCTGCACCGTCTGCCCAGCATGGAGCATGTCAGCTCCCTGAAAAGGAGCAGGTGAAGGGTATGGTTTGTCTAGTGCTAATAATAACACCTAAATGGAAGAAGTAAGGGAGGAAGAAAAAACTCATTCATAAGAAGAATGACAACTAACAAATGGAAAAAATAACCAGTTTAAAACCAGCATAGTACTGATCCATGCAAAATTAAACTAAGTATGCCCAAGCCATTTTGTAACTATTGTTTGGCAATCGATATTTACTCAGTTTAAAGGCCCCAACAATTTTTGTTGTTGTATAAAAAGAGAAGTTTTTCCTTTATACCACTTAACCAAGTAACCGAACTCACCACCACCAATAAAAAAAACTGACATCATGTGACATACATAAAGCTCTGAAAAGGACAAAATATCACTTATGCAATATTCCTGTCTTTAACTTGATTTTATTCATGAAAAAGTAAAAAGATGAAATTAAAGCACATTTGCAAAACGGTTGACTTGGGAGACTCAAATATCAATTTCATGAAAGTTAAAATCAAAGCATAACATATGTGATGAGTATATGAGTATTCATTATGTCATTTTCTGTGGAGTGAAATTTTTCAGAAGAAAATGTTGGGAAATATATATGTCATTCTAAAATTTTTCATTTTAAGTGTCCTTAAAAGCCACCTATTTAAATTTTGTTGATTTTTAAAAAGCATGTAATTTATGACATACTTTATAAAGATCTTTGTAATTTATAAAGATCTCATTTTAAATGCAAAAGAAATTTGGTTGAAAATAAAGTAATTTAATTTGTACAGATTTTAGAGTGATTTAATTTTATGTTGATTTTTATGAATTTACATTTTTGTAAAAAATGTTTTGTACTATACACCCTGGTTTTACAATCTTTTTTAATATATTTATGTTTAGATTGTTATCGTGGGAATGGCAAAAATTATATGGGCAACTTATCTAAGACACGATCCGGACTAACATGTTCTATGTGGGAGAAGAACATGGAGGATTTGCACCGGTATGTCAGTTTCTTTCTGTCAATAGATATTATGTAATGATCGTAGTAAATAGGTGTACTCAGGTAAGTCCTTTGGTATTTCTTTTCATATATTTCATATATATATGATCATAAGCTAACAAAAACATTAGATTGACTGTGCATGTAGCAAACTTTTAAATAAGAAATTCAAGCCAGCCTATATTCATTTGGCACTTACTGTCTGTTCTGCTCTGATAGGTGCCGTAGAGAACATTAACCAAGAGTGAGCATATGTTTTAACTCCATTTTTAAGGAGTATATGGTCATATTGAGAAAATTGTTATATAACTAGATAAGATAATATATAATTAAGTGATGAATCTCATGTTTCATGGGGTACATTTTATTATTATGTTCTCATAATTAATTGTTAATATTCACAAAACTCAGTTCATTATCATTTTCATGTAAATACATCCCTTAATATTCAACTGATTACTCAAAGCTTAGACCATTTTCCTTGTGTTAGCCTTGCTTTGACATATAAAATTTTCTGTAATTCAAGGAATATATACAGAATTGGAAGAAATTTATATATTTTATAGAAGTTGATATTTTGACATTGGACATAGTCTCAGAAAAATCAGTTATCTGCAGTTTAACCCAAGCAATAGTGCTAGTGTGTTTAAAATTACATACTAAGTATAAGACATAGTTGTGACATAAAATCAACTTTTAACAACTATCTCAAATATAAGTACTAGAATAAAAGGTAAAAGTTCAGTGTCGTTCAATCAAGTACCTGGTTGCTCTGTATGAGTTGTCATTGTTCCTGGCCATTCTAATCCTTTGTAGAAGATATGTCTGTATATGGGAATAAGAAATTTAGAACTCAGAGAAATTGAGTCATTTTGCCTCCAGTCCCGCTTTAACTTTACGGCCTTTATTCTCTTCCAAAATGTACTCACTAGTGGATAATTTACTATACAAGTAGTGATCATTTTAAAGTAGTGCTGTCTAATGTAAATATGCAATTCACATCTCTAAGCTGCGCATGTGCTTTTAAGTTTTATAATAGCTACATGTAATGAAGTAAAAATAAACAGGTAAGTTTGTTTTTATTAACAATTATATCTAAACTTTTTTATTTTAACATGCATTCAACATAAAATTATGAATGAGGTCTTTTACATTTTTATGTCAAAGTTTCAAAATCCTGTGTCTATTTACAATTACAGCACTGTTCAGGTTGGACTGGGCACATACCAGTTTCTTAGTCACCACGTGTACTCAGAGGCAGCTCTATTGAACACAGCAGCTGTAGGACTTGAGGTGGAAGCAGAATTCTGCCCTCACACATTTCACATTCTAGTATGTGATGCCTGAAAAACAGCAAATGCCAATACCATAGTATAAAAATTGTGAAAATAGCATATTTTATGCTGTGGGAATGCAAGGAAGAGCCATCAAAGCCTCTGATGGTCAGGAAGACTTCCTGGAGGAAGGGACACAAGCTGAGACATAGGTGATAAATAGGGACTGGTAAAAGGGAATATAAGAAGAAGAATCCCTCAGACAGAATGAATAGCTTGTGCAAAAGACTAAAGACCGAATGTTTGAAAATCAGAAATAATTCTGGTAGGGTTGAAACAACGTAATTTGGCCACTGTCCACAGACAAGGAATTCTCTGGCAAGACCATAAAGAGGCCTGTAAGCTGTGTTCACAAGTTTGGATTTTATCCCAAGCATTCAAAGATTCATTAAAGAATTTTAATCAAGAATTGGATGATTAAAATTAAATGCTGATTTCAGCATTGCTATTGTTAAAATCATTTTTAGAAATACAGTGGGGTGGATCTGCTTCTTATGGACAGACTTGTGAGAGACAGTTGCACCAGCTCTGCCTTCACTAAGGTCTCATCAGGAGGTTGACATTATTATGGTACAAGTATTTACTCCACAGAAACCAGCAGGGACAACATGTAAAGACTCTCCTTAGACACACCTCAGACTGTCAGTTTTGAAACATTTGACAGCATACCACTGGAAATATGTGACATGCACATTTAGGTATTGCAGTGGTGATAACTATTAATTCATTGTGTTTAGGTTTACTTTTGGATATATATATATAAATCACTTGCAAATAATTTGTAGGAAATTGATGGCTGGTTAAGTTGCATAGTACCATTTAAGTTATATACGTAAATCCCAGAATCCAGTATGTAGTAAATATTGTATGTGCTTGCTGATGTTACTGCCCCAGAAGATGAACCTGAGTTTGAAAAGATAATCTGAATCTCCACGCCCCAGCTCTTCCCAATTTTTTAAAATGACATATAAATTACATTCTAACAGGGTAATGATTAATAATCCAAAACGAATCAAGTTAGATGCATAGTTTTTATGACTTGGTTAGGACGGCCACTTGGAATTTGACCTCGAATAATTAATGTTATTCGAGTAAATATAAATATTGATGTTATATGCGCAGGTGTGGTCTTATAAAATAATATACAATAATTTTGCTTTTCCTTTGTAATAAATTTAGTAAAGATGTAAAATATGAAAGGCCAAAATGTTACTCAGTTATCTGTCAAAACAGTCATGTTTTATAACTCTATGACCAGTGATATTTTTAGAATTTAACTATTTCATCAGCACATTGTTATTCATTTTTCTATGTTTCTTCTTATACTTTGGCGTGGTGATTTTGGTAGTGACGCTTCATATGTTTGTTGATTTTCTTTGTCATCTGCTCATTTTCTGGCAGTGTTTCTCCATTTCTGTGCACAGGTGTGGCATTAATTTGCTACTGTAATTATTAAAGAGAAGTAAAGTCACAAAAACTTTCATTGCTTTATCTATGCTAATTATACAACCCTATTCTGTATTCCTGAGTTAGAGAACATGCTTCCAAGTTGTAAGAATAACAAAATAAATCTCAAACGAAATAACCAAAATTCATACCAGTTGAAGCTTGTGCTGTAACTAGAATGAAAGTTGTGTACTAGGATTATGTCTTCTTGGTGACATTTTGTTTTTCTTGGACAAAATGAGCATCTTGTGATGTTCAGAGTTTGTTTGTGCAGGCATATCTTCTGGGAACCAGATGCTAGTAAGCTGAATAAGAATTACTGCCGGAATCCTGACGATGATGCCCACGGTCCCTGGTGTTACACGGGGAATCCTCTCATTCCCTGGGATTATTGCCCTATTTCTCGTTGTAAGTACATTTAATGATCTTTTTCAGGTTAAATGTTTTAAATATGCTGCTTCTTCTTTAAACTGATACCTTAATGAGATGTGAAACTAACATGGGAGGCCTGCGTCTGATCAACAAATGAGAATGTACTCCAGACAGCAACACACACACACACACACACACACACACACACTCTCTCTCTCTCTCTCATACAAGTGTATTCATCTGTCATCTAGACAAGAAGACATTCTCCTGACCTTTTAAAGACTTTCCTTTCTCAGAAGATTCTCATTTGTAATCCAGAAGCAATAATTGGCCTTGGTTCTAGTATAACTGCCCTAGAAAGACCTCCCCATCACCATCACCAGTACCACCTGTTCAGCTGCTCAGCATAGCACAGCTCTCAGCAAACACCCCAACCTACTCACCATCTCCTCAGCAGACCTGAGATGGTGGTGCTTCTGTCTTCTTCTTAGTTCTTTAGCCCAAGGCTGAGAAGCCTCGAGCATTCTATCCACTTCTGTGAGCCAAGGACAGTTGTTAAGAGTATTAATGGGTAAAGTAAGATGTATGCAAAACATACATGCCTGATGCACTTCATAGGAAAGAGCCTCTATATAGCAATAAAGAAGATGAGATAGCAGAAAGACGAAGAGGATGAATCCTTGAGAATAAATATAATGAATAAACAAAGACGTTAAAACTTAATCATAAGGAAAATTAAATTATAAAAGCATAATATATAATTTCCACCTATCAGGTTGGCAAATTAGAAAATGACTGTTAATGGCCAGTATTTGTGAGGGCTTGGGTTTTCAGCCTTGATAACAGCAGCACTTTGCGCTGGGTAAACCTTGTGGGAGGCTGTTTTATGCATAATGAGATGCTTAGTAGTGTCCTCAGCCTCAGTCCACTAGATGTCAATAGTCCCATTAATCCCTGAAGCCATGACAATCAAAAACATTTCCAGACATTGTCTTCCAAACATCTCTGATGTTCCCTCGGAGAGGGGCAGGGTACCCCCACTGAGAACCACTGATGGAGAGTAAGATGTATTGAGATAGAAATATATCCTCAACCTGTCATTGAGTGGAAAAGCCTTATTTTAAAACAATATAGTAGCAACAGGCCATTGTACTATACTACATTATCTCACAGCTCCGTGTTTATGGCAAACATCTTTAAACACTGTTAAACTACCTTCTTATTTAAAAAGGACATGTTTTTATAAGTTTAGGAAGAGTCTGTTTTAAGATCGTATTTCTTGTGAGACAAGCCAGTGATAAGAGCCTTTAAAATAACAGCAAAAGCACTTGCTGTAAGACATTAGATTGAAGAAATGATGTTTGCTTTAAAACATGAAATATAAACACAATTTTGTTTTTTCCATAATAAATGTACAATTAAAAATGTAATTTTTAACCTTAAGTGAGAACATTAGTCATGTTACATGAAATTTTAGCATAAAATGGCTCAACGAATATAATGTTAATCAAATATATCTATAATTAAAACTTGGATCTTACTAATTTATTTTTAATAAAAAATTCTTTATAACAATAAAACATATTTTATATTTGCAAATAAATACTATGATATTATTACATTTTATTTCATCAGGTATAATCATTGCCTTTCAAATTGGTTAGTGTTTCCTTGGTGTTCTATTTTTCCCATATTAGGGTTTGCATACGTTCTGAAAATGTTCTACAGAAGATATCTTTCAAGTTTTAACACTAAAACAAACAAGCAAACAAACCTACTACTTTGGCACATGATATTTTAAAAATAGTTAGAGAATTATTCTTTCTAAATGTTAGTTTTACCTCATGAAACTTTTTTTTGAAGTTTCTGTGTTAATCAGGCTAGTAGACTATCCAATGATCTAGGAAGATGAAAAAAATAGTCAAAGATCTGGCTGTTAAAACAGGTGTGAATGCTTCCCCTACAGAATTGTAAAAGTCACATTAGCTTAATTATAGGACATAGGATGCCCTTGTAGGATCTCTGGGAACTTTAGATTATAAACCTAACTGACCCAGGACCCTAATAATTTAAAGCTTTGAAAACATATTTTCAACTAACATTTTAAAACTAAAAGTTGTAATGTGCTATTGAAAGATTCACGGTGTTGCTAATATTTGATTAAATGCTATTGCAGGTATCGCATTTTTATTTCAATGTATTTTGCACATTACTTTTTTAAAAATATTTTTACACTGTCATTTTTTGAACTAATATTTACAGCCAGGATTTATTTATGTTTTACCACTGGTGAAAGGCTAATAAAATTTATCTTTAGAACATTTGAGGTCTTGTTTATTTAACTGAAGAGATTATATAAATCATTTTCACACTATATATTTGTAATATTAAAAACATGTAGAGGTTTTTATGACTTTTAAAAAACTGAAAAATAATATTTAACATATATTTTAAGGATGTAAGATTTGAAAAAACTAGAAATGTTAATACATTTGTCTATACACATACAGATTCAATATAACTTAGAAAAAATCTTTGGTTTTACCAACTGAATGTGTCGTGGTTAAGAACTTTAACTCTGACTTCTTGGGTAAGAATTCCAGCTCTGTCACTATCAGTGCCTTGAGCAAGTTACTTACATCCTAATTTTTATTCATTTACTCATTTATTAACAATTTAAAATTGAGTTACTATTGTGTGCAAGGCCTTATGTACCATACTCAGGACACAACAACATAAACAATATTTCTTACTTTTAAATAGTTTTCAGTGTAAAAAAGGAGACATTTGTGTAAAAAAACTATAAATATAATCATTTAATAAATATGTGTTAATATTAAAATATATAATGAGGATAGAGACATAGGTGTCTAGAGACATACCTAGAGAAATAGGTGGTATTCATAAAGTATTGAACTTGAGTAAAAAAATTAAGAATTATTGAAAGATTTGTTTTTAGCACCAGTATATACTTGATCCTGAGACCACATAAACATGCATTTGTGCACTCTTCCTACTCTTCTGCAGATACAACTTTTATCATCACATTTCTGTTCTTCAAGTGTAAGTTGAATCAGTACAAAGTCAGACTTGTGTCATATTTTTTTTTTATATTTGTGTACTGTGGTAGAGATAGTGGGAAAGAAGTAAAAGAGGGAAATAAAAAATAGTATGTGATGATAAAATGGAAAAGACCTAGGGAGCAGTTTTTCAAAATTTTGCTCAAAGTATGCAACAGAAGTACCTGCAATGCTTTTAAAAATTAATAATCTAGGCTTCAATCTAGAATCTCTGGAAGCCTGACCTTAGGTGGTATTTCAGCTTATTCTAAAGTGTGAGAAATATTGGCATGGAGGAAATGATGTATGTATATATATATATATTCTCAATTATTAATTAATAATGCTAGCATCAATAATATATTAATGAATAATTATTAATGATTAAAACCCATAATTTACTACGTCTATAAATTTTTTAAGTTTAAATATTTTAGTAAGGTTCAGTAATAAACTAAATACTATATTTACTTATTAACTTGATGCTTAGAAATAGGAAATTTCATAACAATTTTAGTCTTTCTTTTCAAGGCAACTTAAGAAATACATATCTAATATTTTATAATTTTTAAGTAATTGACTTGAGTGGAAAAACCAATATCCTTGATTTTTTAATGACCCACAGTCAGCCTCAGTCCTTATTTTTACTATAAACTAAAACCTTGTCCTCAGCCTACTCTAAGATAAAACCCTCCCCCAAGATAACTAAAGGGAAAGGAAAATTATGAAATTTATATGTTTGCTTTCCCCTTATTCATTTAAAATACTTAGATCTGGTAAATGAACTTAAGTAAAAACTCTTTAGCATGTATTAATTTTCTTGAGATTCTTGACAAATAGCAATCAAATTTGCATGTATTAAAAAGAAATCCAGAAGCCATTATTCCTTTGTTGACAGTTTATTTGAGTTCAGGGTATTTCCAGAGATTAACAGCCAGCTGGGTCCAAACAGTGCCTGACTAAACTCTATGCCATCAATTCTGAACAGTATGACATTAAACTACAGGAAATGTCTTGTGCCTCATTCATTACTGCATAAGTATTCTCAAATCCTGGCACCTTCTAAGCCTTTTTTCTTTGTAGCAGTTAAGCCCCAGGAGGGAGGTTATGAAAAAGAAGTAAGCTATGAAGTTTTCGTTAGAATTAATTTCCAGTTTCTAGTATTCTCTTCTTTCCACATTTTTACTGACATCTGGAAAAACAAATCTTTGAAATATTCTAACAAAACAAAATTATATTCTGTTATCCCTTTTTGTCCACTGATGATGATGTTGTTATCTACTAGAATTCTTAAATTTTTCTGAAGCATGCAAAGTTTCAATTATCCTCAACCATATTTTTTAATATATAATTTTCAAAATAAATATAAATGGGCCAAATTACAGTAAAAACAGTTTAGCTATATGAATGTCCCAAGCAAGCGATGATAAGCATTAGTGCTACTCAATAAAATGTTTTTTGTACAGTGTTTAGAATGAGGCAGCTTCTTGATGCCAGTAGGGCGCCTTCCCTGTTATAAAATAGGCTTTTCTCACATCATGCACTACTAGCAGGCACATACCTTCAATATTCCAGTAAAATGACACATACGTCCTCAAAAGAAAACAACTGCATTTTATCTTTGAATAGAATGTCTAGAATTTCAGTAAAGTTGTTGTTTGGACAACTTCAAGTGCACCAACATTCATTTTCATAGGGATGCCTGTCACAAGGAGTAGAGAAAGAGTGAGAAATTAGAAATTTATTTGAAAAAATAATGAAAGAAAACTTGACCTGATTTGGTGAAGGAAATAGACACGCAAGTCCAGGAAGCACAGAGAGTCCCAAACAGACACATCATAAATAAAATACCAAAGGTTAAAGACAAAGAGAGAATCTTAAAACCAACAAGAGGAAAACAGTTACTTACAGAGGAGTTCCCATGAGACTATCAGCTAATTTCTCAAAAGAAACTTTGTAGGCTAGGAAAGACTGGCAAGAAATATTCAAAGTCAGGAAAAGCAGGGACCTGTAGTCGACATGCTCTACCCAGCAAAGCTATCATTTAGAATCAAAGGACAGATAAAGAGCTTCCAAGACAAGAAAAAAACTAAACAAGTCCATCATCATCAAACCATTATTATATGAAATGTTAAAGGGACTTATTTAAGGAAAAGAAGATCTAAAATATAAACAAAAATGGCAATAAACACATATCTATCAACAATTAAATCTAAAAAACAAACTAAGCAAACAAGAAGAACAGAGATACAATCATGGATACAGAGAAGGTGTTGATGGTTGTCAGATGGGAAGAGAGTGTGGGAGAATGGGTGAACAGGTAAGGGGATTAAGAAGTACAAATTGGTAGTTACAGAATAGCCCTGGGGATATACAATACAGTATGGCAAATGGAGTAGCCAAAGAACTTCTGTGCATGACCCATGTACATGAACAATGGTGTGGGGATTGCCTGAGGGAGTGGGGGGGTGCTGGGTAGAGGGGACAAAAGGAGAAAAATTGGGATAACTGTAATAGCATAATCAGTAAAATATAATTAATAAATAATTTTAGTAAATTATCCAGTTCATGGATATTTCAATTTCAATATATAGCATTGGTTCTGTATAAGAGAAATATGTATGTATGAATTATGTATATATGTATGTACTTATTTTTACAGGTGAAGGAGATACCACACCTACAATAGTCAATTTAGACCGTAAGTAATAATTTGGTATATTTGAGTCTCTGTGTGTCAGAAATGATGTCCTTATCTTATTCACGTAAAATATCTTATCAGTATATCAACTTCCATCATAAAAATATAAGTTAATCTATTTTCGCTTAATTTTTGATGTGCATATGTAATGGGGTTACAAAGGTAACTGCATAGTAAATATCTAAATTCAGTTCTCTAAGATATTATGTTTATTTTAAACAAGCATTTATATTGCTTTTAGTTCTGGGCAAAATGTACATAGGGACCTTTACTGTCCTTTTAAATTAAATAGAGATGCAAAACTCAGAAGGGATGAAACCAGGAAGCTGGAAACTTGGGTACTGTCTCTGTCCCACTCTATCTAAAGCTCTTTGCCTGCTCAACTAGGCGAAAGAGGACACAGACTGAGAGGTTTGGGTAATTCTTATTTAAGAAAATCTGCTTGACAATTGCTGGTTTTCAATTTTTGCATATCTTTTGAGCTGAAGGAAGTCACTTGTGTTTTGATTAAGAGGCAGGCCACCTGTTTTGTCCCAGGCTGAAGATCAGTTTTAGACTGTGGACAGCGCTGGAAAGGATTAGGCAGAGAAAACAGAAGAGGGGCAGGAAAACATGTACTTTAAAGAATTCTCAATTATGTCATTCAGAAATAATGACTAGAAAGTGATTGTAATAATAATAAATAGAATGCTGGTAATCTGTTTCAAAATGGCTGTGCATTCTCACTGTACAATTTCAAGTAATAAACCCAATATATACTTTTTAATTTTTGCTTCACTCAAGCCATTGATTTCCATTGACATTTAGAAATAGCCACTATAAATGACATTGTTTCATTTATGTTGAGGTTAGTGAGGAAAATGCAATTACTAAAAGGCCCGAAGAACTTGGACTTAGTGCTGGGTGAGGAAGGCCTCTGTCACTGTCATGGCCATGCTGTCAACCTTGAGGTCATCAGTTTTTCTGTGCTACTAGTGTAACTAAGATGAGAAAAACAAACATTTTGGGCCTGATTTGGCACTTGAGTCATAATATTTTCCCCCAAAATGTTCTTCTGACCCAATTACAATAGTTACATTTGTCTAGTTACCATGGCATTTAAGAAGCTAAGAGGCAGAGTATTTAAAAATGTTTTGTCAAAATGTTATGTTTGGTCCTCTTTTTAGATCCTGTAATATCTTGTGCCAAAACAAAACAATTGCGAGTTGTAAATGGAATTCCAACACGAACAAATGTAGGATGGATGGTTAGTTTGAAACACAGGTAATTATTAATAGACACAAATCATATGTGTTTGGCTTATTTGCAAAAGGTATACTCCCAGCGGTATGGCCAGATGTGGGCATACAGGTTGTGTCATCCAAATGGGCACCACATGAGGGGGGCACGAGAGGAGATGGATGACATTCTGTGTGCCAAGCAGCCCTAGATTTTGCAATTTGTGCCCCCAGAGACAGTACCTGTACATGTTCACAAAGGTCCCATATGTGTTGACATTATCTGTAATTACAAGTGGCACTTCAGTTCTGATTAAGCAAAAGACAACTACACAGAGAACTTACTGATACCTTGATATTGCCAAACTAGTTATAATTCGTATGTTATTAATTTCCCAATATAAGATATTTTGACTTTATTTTTAACATGCCTGTGCATAATTATATCAGAAACTTTATTTGTTTAATATTTCTATTGTCATGCCAATGAGAATGGCAATATTTTAAATTCTACAACATTTTACCATTAAGAAAAATATTAACAAACAATAGTGATGGTGGAATAGTTCTGGCTGTTATAATACTTAGTGTAGATAAAAAACTCTTGGCATATCTGTTTCTCAGTGACTTAAGAATGAATGGATTGTTTTATGTAAAATCACTTTACAAAGTATACTGTTGTAACAAAATTAATCTTAGTAATTCTGTTGTAAGAGTTTAATATTGAAAATGAGAGCTAACTTAAAAGCTGACCTTAAAAAACTTAAAAACTTAAGTTTATAAAAAACTTTTAAAAAAACTTTCTACATACTACATATATTATACCATATGGTAATAAGAATGTTAAAATATTTTTGTCGATGTGTGTCTCTACTGGAACCTCATCATGCAACAAACCCCAAAATACAGCTGAATTCTAACCACATTTTCCCTTGTTTTCAAGACACCTTATGTTTCCCTTCCAAGTTTCATTTCATGCTATTCTTCCCACTGCATGTTATAGCTTTCTTCCTCCATCTGTTAGACTTAGCGAATCCTTCTCATCCTCCAATTACCAACTCAGTCATCTCCTCTTTGGGAAACCTTCTGTGTTCCTTTAAGTATAGCCTCCTAGACTACAGGAAGAAAGCATATCTCTTACTGTAGTTGAATGATAGTGATATTGAAGTAGATCGAGACAACTTGAAACTGAAGTTTGTTTATGAATAAGACAGTTCTTAGGAAACAGAGTCCTTTGATATATACCATAGAGAAGGTGGCCTAAAGTTCTCTTTTCATATGTCTTTCTTTCGAGGAGTAAATGATCGTGTTTTTATAAATATGTATGTTGATAATTATAGTGTAGCTGTCCTAGCTATGTAGTACTTAAATAGAATTTTGACACTCATCAGAATATTAAAGCTAATTGTGCAATATGAAGATCTAATGAAGGCTGTAAAATTTGGGGGGAGTGTCTCATTCTATTTATTATAAAAATGTTTCAAGAATCCATATCCTTAAATTGATTAGTGATTCTTTGAAAATTTCATAACTCCCCCCAAGAACAAGTATGCACTTCTGAATTTAGACCAATGGACTACAAGGATACTCCTTTGGAAGTTTCAGTGGAGAAGCAGGTGACACTGCTTTTCATTAGATCAGTGTACTATAAACGTTTAGGAAAAAATATTTTTCTTTTAAATCCAAGTTTTTAGTAACAACAGCTGTTTAGTTATTATTCCAAAACACATACTGAGAAGAATAGAAATTAAAACGACATACACTCTTATCTTCCTGTGTGGTATAGGCCATAAATAACCATGGTCTTAGTCTGGGAATCTTTTTCTATTACTCTCTCAAGCGCTGAACATCTGTACACTTTGGAAATGTAAATTGTGAAAAGTCGTCATTTTTTATTCTCTGCCAAAAATAATGGAGTTACAGAGTTTTGATATCACCAAATAAGTGTACTAGTGTCTATTATGTTCCACAAATATCTTATAATTTAATAGATAGTATGCCTTGAAAAACTGTCTATTTAATTTTATAAATGTAATAATATATTGCTGGCCTTAAGCTGAACCAACAAATGTACTCAGTTATATTTTAGTTAGTATACCAGAACTAAATAAGGGCAATGAAACAAGAAAACAGTGTACAAATTTTATATATTGCTACTACCACATGAATTTAAATAAAAACTCAAATTTACATTTTTCATAATTGAACACTGAATAGGTTTACACTGTTTTTGTTGTTCATATTTTTGTTCATTCTAATTATCATATTTGTAGCACAGACTTTCTCTTACAAAGAATGGATCTTGGTATGTAGTGATTGGGTTCTTTCCATAAAAACAAGGTTGGTTTCATAGAAGGTAACCCCATGATGAAGAAAATGCTAATGCTACAATCACCAAATATCTTTCTGATAAAGGATTACTCATTTTGTTCTAGTAGAGTTAATTTCAACATTATTCTCTGAAATGCATTTTTCTGAACAAATGTGGCTATAGGTTTTGCATTAATTGGCAGCCAACCTTCCTGCACAGATGTTACTTGTTTCTCTTCCTTCTTTCTCATAGAAATAAACATATCTGCGGAGGATCATTGATAAAGGAAAGTTGGATTCTTACTGCAAGACAGTGTTTCCCTTCTCGGTAAAGTGTTTCTGAAACCAATTATTTGTTTTGAGTATTTGAAAATATGTATGGCTTCCACTTAGCTTTTAAGTTTAGTATGTGTATTTATTTAACTGATTCACCAGCATGGGGTGAACAAACTAATTTTTTATAGATTTAGCTAACAAAACTTTCTTTGACTTAATGGATATTTACTAACTGAGTACTATTTCTATTCACCCAGGGGAAAAGTTTGCTGGAAATATGTCAGTAATTTTACTCCAACCTCTTGCACTCTATATTTCTAGATAGAAGTTATTTATTTTTAATTATTGAAAACTTTCTCTCAATTACACTTCTACTTTCTTATGTAGAGCCAGGCTTAGAATCATCCTGGGAATAATTTTCAATGAAAATTAGCCAAGGAAAAGATACAAAGGCAGCATTTGTAAGCTAACTTCCTGATCCTCCTCAAGGTCACTCTGTCTTTGTTAGTACAAATCGTCAACCCTCATTAAGAAATGAAACATATACACAGCTGACATAAAAAGGAAACTCTGTAGTAAAATTATAATTCATGTAATATGCTTTGCCTGAAAAAAATTTTCTCCCTAGCAAACATAATCAAATTTTTTCCTAACAGCCCTTTAGATTTTCAGCAATTTTGGGGTTCCTCCAGCTTATACGTGCTTGTAGCTTTCAGAATTTTGCACAACAAAAGTCTTGCTCTTTATTATACACAGAATCAAAATTTAAATTTAGGTGATTTTCTGCCCTTAGAAGCTAAAATAACAATATATATGAATAATATTACACAGTTTAAAATTATGTTTTATGTTTTGGTTTTTCTACTTAGAAACAAAGACTTGAAAGACTATGAAGTTTGGCTTGGAATTCATGATGTCCATGGAAGAGGAGATGAGAAACACAAACAGGTTCTAAATGTTTCCCAGGTGGTGTATGGGCCTGAAGGATCAGATCTGGTGTTACTGAAGCTTGCTAGGTTAGTTCCTGTAGAAGGCTTTGTATCTTTAACCTAGACTGCAATTGTTGAAGCTCTTTCAACAATGGCTATTTCTTTTCCTTCATATAGATTTATTATAAAAACATGTGTCGTGTTTTTATATATGTATGTAAACATACATGCATGCATATACATATATATACAGGCATATACACATAGAGGAGTACACCATGTGTGTATATGTATGCACATATACATATATACACAGAAATATACATGTAATTATATACACATACACATGTGTGTATACTTATCATATATATGCACATACACAAAGAACTATTTTGTATTTTCATAAGTGAATAAATGAAATTGGGCCAACAATCTGACCCACCTACTCTAAAATCAAAGCTTAGTGAGCAATTATTATTTTTTAATATATTTTATTGATTGTGCTATTACAGTTGTCCCGTTCTCTCCTTCATTCCCCTCCACCCTGCACACCCCCTCCCACTCACATTCCCCCCCTTTAGTTCATGTCCCTGTGCCTTAAGTTCTTTAGCTTCTACATTTCCCATGCTGTTCTTGCCCTCCCTCCCCCCGTCTATTTTCTACCTACCTTCTATGAACTTATTCTCTGTACCTTCTCCCTCTCTCTCCTCCTCCCACTCCCCTGTTGCTTGCTATCCCTCCATGTGATCTCCATTTCTGTGGTTCTGTTCTTGTTCCAGTTGTTTGCTTAGTTTGTTTTTATTTTATGTGTGGTTGTTAATGATTATGAGTTTGCTGTCATTTTACTATACATGTTTTTTATCTTCTTTTTCTTAGATAAGTCCCTTCAACCTTTCATATAATAAGGGCTGGGTGATGAGGAATTCCTTTAACTTGACCTTATCTGAGAGCACTTTATCTGTCCTTCCATTCTAAATGAAAGTTTTGCTGGATAGAGCAATCTTCAATGTAGGTCTTTGGATATCATGACTTGGAATACTTCTTTCCAGCCCCTTCTTGCCTGTAAGGTCTCTTTTGAGAAATCCGCTGACAGTCTCATGGGAACTCCTTTGTAGGTAACTTTCTCCTTATCTCTTGCTGCTTCTAGGATTCTCTCCTTTGTTTTAATCTTGGGTAATGTAATTCTGATGTGCCTTGGTGTGTTCCTCCTTGGGTTCAGCTTCTTTGGGACTCTCTGAGCTTCCTGAACTTCCTGGAAGTCTATTTCCTTTGCCAGATTGGGGAAGTTCTCCTTTATTATTTATTCAAGTAATTTTTCCACTTGTTGCTCTTCTACTTCCCCTTCTGGTACCCCTGCAAGTCAATGTTGGAACATTTAAAGATGTCCTGGAGGTTCCTAAGCATTTCCTCATTTTTTTTAAATTCTTGTTTCTTCATTCTTCTCTGTTCTGTTCTTTCTTCTTTCTGGTCCACTCCATTGATTTCAGTCCCAGTTTTCTTCCCATCACTATTGGTTCCCTGTGCAATTCCCTTCATTTCACTTAGCATAGCCTACATTTTTTCATCTAATTTGTGACCAAATTCAACAAATTCTGTAAGCATCCTTATCACCAGTACTTTAAACTGTGCATCTGATAGGCTGGCTATCTTTTTGTCACTTAGATGTATTTTCTGTGGAGCTTTGATCTGTTCTTCCATTTGGGATGTTTCTTTTTATCTTGTTGTGCCTGTTACATCTGAGGAGTGGAGCTTTAGGTGTTCACTGGGCAAGGCAACCCAGTTGCTGGGTTGTGATGCTGTATGTGTGGGCGGGGTCAGAGAGGAAACAGTGGCGCTTGCTCTGCTCTCTCTAGGATTTCTGCCCCTTCCACCACTTACCCCAAGCAAACTGGGCCCTTCCGGTGCTGATTCCTGTGTAGGTGGGTTTGTATATGTTCTAAGACCCTGTGAGTTTCTCCAGTGAACTCTCCTCTGAGGCTGGGAGTCTCTCCTGGCACCTCAACCCCCAGAGGTGTTTTCAATTGGTGTTTCGAGGCTTTATTTCTTGGCACTGGGACCCTGGGTTGGGTGGTCTGTCTCGCTCCCCAGTTTTGCCTGGTTTATCTATGCATGAATGTGAGGCTGCCGCCCAGTCAGCCAGCCACCTTGTGGACACCTTGCTTTACAGTTGCCACCTCCATCTTGTCTGGAAGTCCAGCAATTGATCATTTTTCATTTTAACAGGTAAAATATTGATTTAAAAATAAAAATAGCAGTGCCCATTTATTCTTATATATTAGCAAATAACTCATTTTCTGTCACTTACTGCAGATTTCTACATTATATGTTAAACATTCCCTTTTTCTTCTTTAAGAAACATGACTTTCTTCTCTCAAAATGTCACATTAAATATTAACACTACATTTCAGTATGTTAATTTTGCATTGAATCCAATCAAGAGTACTACTGTTATATTTTCTCTTTCTAGACCTGCTGTCCTGGATGATTTTGTTAGTACAATTGATTTACCTAATTATGGATGCACAATTCCTGAAAAAACCACTTGCAGTGTTTATGGCTGGGGCTACACTGGATGTAAGCAACTTTTAAAAAGATAAGGCAAAAATCTTATTCATGATATTAAATAAAATAGTATTTATTTATTTTATTTTTTTCAACTTACCCTGAGCTCATTAACGGTACGTTTTTGCACTATTTCAGTGATCAACTCTGATGGTCTACTACGAGTGGCACATCTCTATATTATGGGGAATGAGAAATGCAGCCAATACCATCAAGGGAAAGTGACTCTGAATGAATCCGAAATATGTGCTGGAGTTGAAAATATTGCAACAGGACCATGTGAGGTAAAAAGGGCATATGTGAAGAACAGCAGAGTTTTTCATGTTCAGTTTTTGTCTTATTTTTCTCAAGTAAAAACCATTGTATGCCAACATGTTCCAAGAGTGAGGAATTGGGAAAGATAACCCTGTATTACCCTCCTACATTTCTTTTAACTAAACACTGAGACAATCCATGTTTCATTAGCAGTAAACTATGATGACATTTGTCTCAAAAAAAACACCCAAAACCTCTGCAAAATAATAGAGCAAGAGTTAAAGGATGTTGTTCTAATGAGAACTATCTTATAGGAGTTTGATATAACAGCTTTAGTTGTTCTAATCTTTTTCTAAATTTTCCTGATCCTTTCAGATTATTCCTAAATGAACTATATTGATAATATTAAGAAGTACCTTCCTAGTTTTAAACTTTAAAATGGGCTTTTTGTTAAGCTGCTGTGTGTGTGTGCCTATCTATGTGTTTTAACAAAGTCTATTTTAAAAACTCAAAAGGTCAAAGTCCGTGACTTTAAGAGCTTGGACAGTGGAATTTGTTAGGCAATGTTCTCCCAGCTTGGCCATGTTCCTAACCCAGTTTTACATAGACAAGCTGTTAAACTGTTATTTTAGATGAATTTTGAATGTAAGAAACATGCTTCTCAAGCCTGGGAACTGTGGAATTGTAGGCTATTATGTGTAGTAACGCATAGAATGGGTTCAATAATAGTAAAATGTCTTTTGACATGTAGGAAATATCCTAAGCATGGAGCATTAATATATTAGAAATGATGTGTTATATATATTGCTCTGAGATTTATTCCTGAAAATAAAACATTTACTAATTTAAAGCATTCTTAGAACTGCTTAAAATGATGTGGTTAGAAACAGATTGCATATTTATAACCATTTTAAAATTTGTTGGTGTTTTCAGTAAGTCAGTAGTACCATATTCATTATAAAAAGTGAAAATCCGCTAAAAGTAATTTTCTTTCTTCCTTCTCTCACTTTTCCCCTCCTTTCCTTCCCTCTTCCTTCCCTTGAGAGCCCTGTAAGCATGAAGCTTGAGCTATACCCAGTGTTTGTGACCATTTAGGAAGCTACGCACTTATTCCAGCCTTAGTGCCATTACTAAAAATGCTTTGCCAACTACTCTTCAGGAATAGCCTGAGTCTGGTTTATTATCTATACAGTCTTAGATTCCTAACTTTAGCATTGAAGTATTTATCACATTATCACATAGTTGTTATTTTTATTCATATGGACAAGACTTGACTTGAAGTTGATTCTACCACTTCACAAAAATGCAGTTATCTTCCAGAATGTTTTTTTTTGCATCAGTTATTTTTGAAACAGGCAGTAAAATCACTTATACCACTGAAATCTAAACTCTTGAAAAATAAATCTCCTAAATGTTTATATAATAGCAGTAGCACCACACTTAGAAAAAGTTTCCCAAAGTGAATTGCTCTGAAGAGATTATATCAGTAATTACTGGTGCTTTTATTCAAATATCAAATTTATCAATTCATGCTGGATAATTTAAGTAGTCTCTAGAACACATTATTTTTCCTTACTGTTTTATGTTCTGCTGAACCCTGCCTTGATTTTCCCCATCATAGGCTGTTGGTAGCTCTCCTCTCTCCACCTGTGTTATAGAACTAAATTTGCAGTAGTTTACTTTTCTATTTTATCACATCACTCTTGGAGCAGGGGAATTCAGATCATCCCAAACACTCTTCTTTGCTACCAGAATACCCAGAACAGTCACCACAATCTGAGGAGGCCACATGGTGCACAAAAACTATGTAACACATTAATGATTTTATACAACAATATGTGTGTCTATAGGGTAGGTGTACAATTGTGAGGACACAAAACAGTTTATTCTTGTATTATCTGTTAATTATTGTGTTATTTGTCATATGAACAACTGTGTATATGTTTATAAAAATGTACACACAAAACAATCTATTCATCCACCTATCATCTATATGCATATCTGATGATGTAATAGGATTACTGCACAAAAAATGCCATAAAATCATGGGCTGTCTTCTACAACAGAGGTATAAAAAGTAAATATAACTGTATTAACTACTAATACCAACAATAAGTACAAAAATACTTCTTTTTTTATACCTCAACAAGCAGTTTCTAAAGAGTGAATACGATCATTTTTTTCAACTACGTATTTTAAAAAATATTTTGTTTATTTTTTAAAGAGAGGGGGAAGGGAAGGAGAAAAAGGGAGAGAAACATCAATGTGTGGTTGCCTCTCACACCCCTCCCCCACTGGGGGCACAACTTGAGTTTCAACCCAAGCATGTGTTCTAACTGGGGATTCAAACCAGCGACTCTTTGGCTCACAGGCCCATGCTCAATCCACTGAGCTACACCAACTAGGTCTAGATATCAATTTTATTAGTCACAGTTATTCTCTTTTTTGTTTATATGTACCTTCGAGATATAAATATATATAGAAAATGTTAATGAACTATTCACTTTTATTTTCAAATATAATACTTTGTTGTTATTGTTACTGTCTTCTTCTTCCTAGGGGGATTATGGTGGCCCACTTGTCTGTGAGCAGCATAAAATGAGAATGGTCCTTGGTGTCATTGTTCCCGGTCGTGGGTGTGCCATTGCAAATCGTCCTGGAATTTTCATCCGAGTAGCATATTATGCAAAATGGATACATAAAATTATATTAACGTATAAGGTACCACAGTTGTAGCTGATGTAACTGTGTCTGGAGCTCCCATCAGTACAACTCCTTTTCAAATGAAGATTCAGAGAACATGGAATTAAAATGTCACTTAAAACAGTCCTAAGACAACTACTTGAGTGTCATGTTTGTTAAGATACTCATTAATATTTATGGGTGTTTCTGTTGTTTTGTATGTCAGTGTTATTTTGTAAATGTTGAAGTGAATTAAGGTACATGCAAGTGTAGTAACATATCTCCTGAAGATACTTGAATGGAATAAAAAAATGCAAAAGTATAATCGTTGGATGATAAAAGATTTAATGGAAAAATCAATTAATCTCTCTATGCTGCTTTCCAATGTTAGTTTCTTAATAATGAATAAACCATAAGTTCAACATTATTTTAACCTCACAAGAACAATTTACACCTTGTTTGTCTAAATTGTAACTCAATATTAAATTATATTACCTTTTATATGCCATACATTATTTCATTCGTTTCTCCTTACTGTGTATCCTGTATTACTGATACACACACTTGTTGTAAGAACATGTATCCATACACACATGCCCAGGTGCAGATGTGCATGCACTAGAGTTCGAATTGTGGTGTAGCTAATGTAACCCTTAAATATTCTGGGAGTGTATAATTGTAGTTTTTTCTTAAGGGAAAAAAGTAGAAATTTCTAAAGACTGGTAGAAATTTTAAGGAAAGGTATAAGATAGAAATGACTAACTCTACCTAGTATATAATCTGTAGATGACCTCTACTGGTGGGCATTTAAGGTGTGTTCAGAGTTAAATGACTTTGACCCACAGAGTTAAATAACACCTAATCTAGGTCATTATTCAATACATATATTGATCTTCCTAGTTCTTTTATGTATTTTCTAATTCTTAAAGGGAAGAAAGTAATATGTGTTTTAGTATCATTTCTTTCCTCCCAATTTAAGGCCACTGTTTTAATGCAAAACATTAAAAAATTTATTTTCCTAAAGTATTTTTAAAGTTTTGAGACAACTATTGTAATTGAAGTTTAAAAGTATTTTAGTGTTTAAAATATATTTAAATTAACTCGTAAGACTTGTTGTGATTGGCTTTTAGCTAACCCTCTTTAATTTTTAAAAATTATTTCAAAGGAAAATTTCTGTGTCTCCAAAGATTTGCAAATAGCCCTTTCTCAAATTATGTATTAAAGTATATATTAAAGAAAAAATTAGAATACTTTTTTTACTTGAAAGTATTTTAGCCTAATAAAACTTTACTCAAGTAAAAAAAAATGTAAAAGGAAAGAAAGAAAATGGTGTCTAAACTCTGCATTCATTTACTCTTTAAGAAGTAGAGTTGAATCTGCTGATGAGGTAGTTCATCAAGATACCTTCATTTTTATCTTACTTCACTCTATAGAGATGGGAAATATTATTCAAATTTTGTATTCTGTATGATAATAATGAAACGATCACATTGCTTTATTTGTTGTAATTAGCTAAAGATCATGTATTTGTCAAAAAGTGAGATAAGGAGTAATAGGATAGGTTCTGAATTCTTACAAAATCTTCCTGTATGAAATCTCTTTAAAAATAATTATTTAAATGACTCAAATCGAGTATTCCCACTCCTCCAACTGGTTTCTCTTAAATGATCCTTATTAAGGCTAGGGATTTTATTAAGGGGTAAAAACACCACCACCAATAAACCACCAGACATGGTGCACAAAGTAGTTCTTTGTTAGGGAATTTTCCTTTGTAATAGAGGAAGATGGGTAGAACTGATAATGAAGGCAAGATGAATGACATCATTATTATTTTAGGTGGTAGTACAGGGTATGGTATAATCACGTCTTTTCTTCTGGTGAATGATACTATTGCCTGGGCATTCTTTTGTTGATAAACTACAAAAAATGGAATATCCAATTTATCCAAAACTCCATTTTATTTTCAGTCATGGACAAAACAGTCTTAAATTAGAAGTTTTCAATGCTATTTTTGTTTTGGAATAATGGTTACATGTTATATTAATTATGGACATTTTCTTATGTCTACCAGGAATAGTAATGTAAAATTAAAATATTTGCCATAACTCCTCTGCTGTGCAGAAGGGATGATAATCCTTTTGTATACTTCTTTATTTGTATTGTAAAATATGTAATGACTTTTACCTATTTGCTGTGGGCAGGTCCTCAGTAAAATGGTTTATATTGAATCAATCACTAGTATTAACAGGCTCTTGCTTGCTATCTAAGTGTTTCAAACTATGGGAAATGTGAGACACTGGAAGGCAAGAAAAATAATAATAATGGTATGTAATAGCAGAATTCTATTCCACTTATTCCTGTGAATATTTCCTGTTGGTACCAATGGTACTGTACAAAGTGAATGTTATAGCCACAACACTCTCTTGAAAAATAACACTGTCAAGAAGTGAAAAATTCCTTTCAGGCGATTTGCTTGTTATTTTGAAACATTTTTTAAAGGAAATACTAGTTTTGTAATATAGAGATCATGATGTAAATAATTTTAATAAACTTTCATACTGAAAAACTGAAAATTCACTTAACTGAGTTTTAAAAATTGACAACTTAAAAACAATTATTTACATCCCATATTTATACACAAACTCATTTGAAAAATAAAATTAATTTGCAAAAAAAAGACATAGTCTTTGTGTGAATAAATTACTTTTCACAAGTAAGTCCAAAAATAAATTATCTTTCAATGTCCAACTAAATTCTGAACTAAGAATTTACTAATCAAAAAAGTTTCAATTATCTGGCACTTATAAATCTTGACAGTGTAATTTTAAGTAGATTCATTTCCATTTGCACAGAAAGTTTCTGTCTGTAGAAAACTGAAAATAGAATACTGTGGATGTTATGACTGTTTGTGTTGTGTGTGATGGGAAATTGATAAGCTGCCTACTCAGTAGTATAGCAGGATGCTTACCCAACAAGGGAACACTGTGGTTATGACATGTATATGAAGTTAATGTAGTTAATAAAGTTATTATTTTTATAGCCATGATCATATTATTATTATTAATAAAATATTTTACCAAAATGTTCTTCTTCTTTATTAAAATTATATACATGGACGTATCTGAATCTGCTCTAGGGCTTAATGCAGAAAACAACAGCAGTGATTTTATTGACAGAAATAACATAATTTGTTGCAAGAAAGGCTATATAACCTATTTTTAGAACAAAGACAAAAGTTGTTATTTTATTTTAATAGCTATCCATGGTGATATCCAGTGGTCTTTAGTTAACCATTAATCTCTTTGCACTTCAATTTTTCCCACTGTGAAATATAATTATTTAGTCATTCATATTTGCTAGATGACATTATGATGTAATTTGCTAATTTATACAAAATATTGTCATGAATGATCACCTAAATTTCTTCACTGTATCACTATATATTACAAAGGTAATTATAAATAGTTCAATTAATTAATTTAAAGTGTATGTTCAAAATATGCATTAAACTCAAATATGAACCAAGTGGGCTCATTTAACTCCAATAGGGAGCAAGATTGAAAGAACTAATTATCAATTGGTCAAACCAAAAAGGGCTCTGCAACACAGTTCATTAAGTTATACTATCAAGTTATACAACACTGCCTCTTTCCCAAAAGGATTGCTGTAACTTTTCTGGCATAAATATTTATCTCGAGTGATGGTTAATGTATCTAATTCTAGTGTCTATGATAAAATATCTGATCTTCTGAATGATTTTAATTCAAGAAGAATATACACACTTATTAATTTCTGGTGTTAGTATTTAGTATTAAAGTATTTCAAATACACATACTCATATTTCAAAATACATACAAAATTTAGGTTTTTCTGAATTTTACCTTTTCTCTTTTTTTCTGAGAACTACATTCCATTCTAAACCTATATTCTGCTATTTTAAATACAATAGTCCAAGAAATCGTCTTTAAAAGAAAATGTTTGAACAGGGTTTTCAGTGAAGAGAGAGAACAGTGTAAATATCTGGGATCTGATGAATAAAACTGGGGCAATATTTTTGTTAGTTTCTTAATATAGCTTATTTATTTATGCCTACAAGTTATAATGCTTTAATTAGTCACCATTTGTCAGTATCCTGAATATTATTACCTTGGTTTGCATTTTCTCAGTGTTTTACTCCAGGATTTTCATTGTTATTCTGTCATTATTTTCCTATATGGGTGCCAAACTTAGTCTATACAATCTACATAATTTCACCAAATTTTGTGTAAAATTTGGATTAGAAGTCTTGTTCTAACAGTCTATTTTTTTCTTTTACCTTACATTTACAAATATCTCCATTGCATATGTTGTTTAGGAAAGCTGAAATTTAAAAGTACATTTAAGATAAAAATAATATTTGTAGTAATTGTGCAAAGTTTACAGAACTACGAAGAATATCTTATTGTCTAAATCACACCTGAACAAAAAAGACACTTTCACTTTACGTAATTCAAAAGAAGTGTGAAATTATAGTTTACATGTGCCTTTAAAAAGTGAACAACATCAAACAAAACAAAAGCTATCAATCTAACATATTATCTAACTCCCAACTGACTTTGGACTTCATCTCTTCCAAATACTCCTTGACATTCATCACTTTTATTTTGGTTTGGAGCATTGCTTTACATCTAAATGTCATGCTTGCATTCAAACAGTCCCTGTGAACATCAAGCTTTTTGTTAACTCCTCAAAACCTCCAAATGCCATGTGGTTTCCCCTGTGAATCCAATTTCAACATCCTTATCTACAAATCATCCCTTCCTCTGCCTACTGCTGGATTTGCTGTTCCCTTGTGATAATTATCTGTCTGTGACTACACGAGATCAATTTTGTTTTCTTTTGCTTTGTATTTCTTTCTCAGTCTACCTCTATCCTGTTTGAGGTTCTTGGAGACATCAGCAGTGTCTGCCTTTAATACTTATATATTCTTTATTTTGCACAGTGCTTCATACAATGATAACTTATGTATTTTGTAATTATTCAACAATCTACCATCTTTTTTGAAGGTTCATTAGTGTAACCCAGAGATTTGTAATTTTTGTGGAAATTACACAACTTACTGAAGTTCAAGAATTTCAGAGTTTGGGGAGGAGGTTCTGGCCAAGATGGAGGCATAGGTAGAAACACTTTGCTTCCTCAAAAAAACCAAAAGAAGGATAACAACCAATTTAAAACAAACAACCAGAGGTGCCAGAAAATTGAACTGCATGGAACTCCTTAACAACCAAGGAGTTACAGAAATAGTCACCCAGGTTGGTAGGAGAGGCAGAGATGGGAGACAGGCAGCCAAGCAGAGAGGACATGTGGCAAGGCAGAGGACCTTGTGGGTAAGGCAGGGCTGGCTGAGCAGGACACTAAATACTCAAAGCTAGCTCTAAAATACTGGAGCAAGGGTGGGGTTGCCATGGCAGGGGAAACTCCCAGCCTCACGGGAGAGTTTATTGGAAAGTGCATGGGCTAGAGCAGAGCATGGGAGTGGCACTGCTCCCTGTCTGATCCCTCCCCCAAAGATAGCAAAGGGGGTTGACCCACCCTGGTGAATACCTTAAGGCCCTGCCCCTTACAATGAAACAGGGGTGCAGAGACAAAGACATAGGGCCCAAATGATAGAACAGATCAAAATCCTAGAAAAAGAGCTAAGCAACAAGGAGATAGACAACCTATCTGATGCAGACTTCAAAACACTGGTAATCAGGATGTTCACAGAACTGATTGAGCTTCGTCACAAAATGAAGGAAGAAATGAAGGCTACCCAAAGTGAAATAAAGCAAAATATACAGGAAACCAAGAGTGAAGGTAAGGAAACTGGGACTCAAATCAACAATATGAAACAAAAGGAAGAAATAAACATGCAACCAGAACAGAATGAAGAAAAAAGAATTCAAAAAAGTGAGGAGAAGCTTAGGAACCTCTGAGACAACTTTAAACACTCTAATATCTGAATATAGGAGTGCCAGAAGGAGAAGAACAATAACAAGAAGTTGAAAACTTATTTGAACAAATAAAGGAAAACTTCCCCAATCTGGCAAAGGAAATAGACTTTCAGGAAGTCCAGGAAGCCCAGAGAGTCCCAAAGAAGTTGGACCCAAGGAGGAACTCAACAAGGCACATCATCATCAAGTTGCCCAAGATTAAAGAAAAGAGAGAATCTTAAAACCAGCAAGAGGAAAGGAGAGGGTTACCTACAAAGGAGTGCCCATAAGACTATCAGCTGATTTCTTCAAAGAAACCTTACAGGCAAGAAGAGGCTGGAAAGAAGTATTCCAAGTCATGAAAGGCAAGGACCTACATCCAAGATTACTCTATCCAGCAAAGCTTTCATTCAGAATGGAAGGGCAGATAAAGTGCTTTCCAGATAAGGTCATGTTAAAGGAGCTCATTATCTTCAAGCCATTATTACATGAAATGTTAAAGCAACTTATCTAAGAAATAGAAGATCAAAAACTATGGACAGTAAAACAACAACAAACTTACAACGGTCAACAACTGAACCTAATAAACAAAAACAAAAACTAAGCAAACAACTAGAGCAGGAACAGAACTAGGGAAATGGAAATCACATGGAGGATCTTCAGTGAGGAAGGGGAGGGGAAGAACAGAGGGGAAGGTATTGGGAATAAGAAGCATAAGTGGTAGGCATAAAATAGACAGGGAGATGTTAAAAACTTATATGTACAACAGAGAAGCGAAGAACTTATATGTACAACCCATCTACATGAACTAAGGGAAGGGGAATGCTGGAGGGTTGGGGGGTACGAGGCAGAAGGAGCAAAAAGGGGAGAAAAATTTGGGAAAACTATAATAGCATAATTGATAAAATATACTTGAAAAACAACAAAAGTTTTGTGTTTAATTGTATTATTTAGATTTGAAGTAAGTGGGACTATTTTGAGTGGTTTATTGTATTTCATGCACTAAATCATGCTAGAAAAGAAAGTATTGACTTAAAGAGATTATACATTTATATTTATAAATATGGTTATTAAAAATAAAAATGGAAAATTTATTATTAAAATAACAAATTAAAAAATTTTAGTTTGTTAATGGATACAAGTGTTTACTGTGTGCTAATATGATTTTGATTATGTTGGTGAACATTTCCTGTGTGTCTCGAGTGAACTATTGATGTCATAACAGTGAGGGGAAAAACTCATATCAATTATTGCAAAAAATTCTGAGTCAACAATAGTCCACTCACTACTTATGTGAAAGTATGTCATCTGCTGTGCATTGAGGAGTTTCACAATGTTGTTACTCAATTAGCAAAAGGTTTTCATTTGATGACTTTTCTTAACTGAGAGAAGTCAACTTGTTACAGTGAAATGAAGTGGAGAAAAGGCAGATAGATTTTCAAATTATTATTTTTCATGTGTTTTTAAAACTTTATAAAGACACTATCCAGTAGTTTCTTCTTTTTTTAGATTGTATTTATTTATTTTCAGGGAAAAGTGAGGGAGAGAGGGAGAAAAACATCAATGTGTGGTTGTGCCCCTCCCATGCTCCCTGTTGGGGACCTGGCTCGCAACCCAAGCATGTGCCCTGAGTGGGAATTGAACCTGCAATCCTTTGGTTGATAGGCTGGCACTCAATCCACTGAGTCACACCAGCCAGGGCAAATGCAGTGATATTTTAGAATATATGACTATACTTTAAAAAACAAAGACTTCATATCCTATAAAAGAAAAATAATGAATAATTTAGTAACTTGAAGTTTGATATGAAATTGTGACTAAATTTGATTTAGTCAAATTTTCATTTGATATGAAAAGTGACTAAAGATCTTTAAGGTAGAGACAAGAAATTGCACTTGTGATTTAATACCTTTCTTTGGTTGTTCAGAGCCATTAGGAGAGAAGATTCTCAAGTCCTTCTGGTTATGAGAACAAGAATTTGGGGAAAAATAAGCTTGATATTTGAGTTAGATGGTTTGGGTACCAGGCAGAACATCATAATTCTGAATGCTACACAATATATAAATGAAGAAGAAAACTCAAAGAATACTATGGATATTTCTTAAAATAGGAAATATTTCTTTAATGACTTAGGAAAGCTTTACCCAAACTCGTCTCTTGTAGAACAGAATTCTGATGGATTCTTTAAAGTTGTGCTGAGAACAAAATATGGGGGGGGGGCTTGAATAAGTTTTAGAAGTGCTGAGAT